AGCCCTCGTGGAGCTTTGTGCGAAATTCCAAAACAAACTAGTTTACTTCAATCATTGTTTGGTTCTCAACAACGAACAACCAACTTGTTGCTTTGTTTATAATTTCCATTCTTTACGAGACAGCGTAATTTTCTATCATTGCCAAAATTTAAGTATTTTAAGTCTCAGCTAATGTGTATCAGACCACTTAGAAGAGTTAGAACGACAAAGCTAGCATATAAACTTTAGATGATTAATGATACATTATATATATATATATATGTAGATAAGATTGGTTTCCTTTAAATTAGTCAGTCCACAGCTTAATCATCCTCTACAATGGCTGACCTTTAACCCAGGACCAAAGTTCTCTCATATATTGTTCTACCCTATTTGCCTTTATCATTGAATATAAGATCTAAAGCATTGGCATGTAAGGAGAATTAGGGGTTCGAATCCCAGTACTTCTCAGATTTCGCTTCTTCAAAAATATTCGGTTTTTATTGTAGTCTTCTACATAGAAAAAACTTAATTGGTAAGAGGATGAGATATATAACACGTTCACTATCATTGGTCTTAAGTTTGTGAAAGTTTGAAGAGTAGCAAAAGAAAAAAATTCGCTTAATAGAGTAACAATTCAGTAATGATTGATATTTGTTAATTCGTCACGTTGTATTGTTGTACGCGTCATTCTTTGACGTAAGATAAAAATTATGAACATTTTTGTTATAGATTGCGGCTGATGTTTCTGATTAAGCTTGCAATTAAATCAAATATCCTTAATTCAGTAAATTTTTGACGAACTATATAAAATTTATTAGGCCCAAATATAATGGAAATACACAAGGTAGAATCTTTCAAATTAGAAACATTTAGTTTATTCTCAATTACCCTCGCCCCAGGATATTACAATCAAGTTCGTGTTTCCGCGCACGTATCTCGAAAACTAATAGACCGATGTATACAAAAATTTTACAAAAAAAATGGGAAGTCACTATGGGATAACTTTGGTCCGGATCCGTATTTAGATCAGGATTCTGGATTACTTTGAAGAATTTTTCATGCCCCCCAGTGGCACAGCGGTATGTCTGCGGACTTACAATGCTAGAAACCGGGTTTCGATACATGTGGTGGGCAGAGCACAGATAGCCCATTGTGTAGCTTTGTGCTTAACTCAAACAAACAAATAAATCAAATTTCATAGACAGTTACATTACGGTTGAGACTCCTCATCACACTACAAGAAATGATCGGGATTGTTGATCTTTTTGGATCTGAAAAGGATTTTCGGAGGTTATGCAATATTTCTGACTGCTGTTGTTAAAGATGTAATTACAATTCTAAACATGTGACAACCGCGAAAAAAGGGTGGACTATTTTAAACCCTTGCTAATCTAAATATTTGTAGTGACATATGAAATTATTCAGCTCTGTCGAGGCAGCGCTGAGTATAGAAATTGGGGTACAGGCGTTCTTCACATACTTGTTATACATACTAAGTCATAGCGGTGCGATAGCTATCCAATATCAGAGTAATTTTTTTGTCTGTCTGTGGATGCATCTCCTCCTAAACGAGTTGACCGATCCAGACGAAACTTGGCATGCTAACTAGTTGAGTTTGAAAAACACTCATACCACAAAAAGTCGAAGATTTTAAATAAAATTTTAATCATTTTTGCTTGTTTCCAATAATAACCAAAATATACAGTAATAAAATATCCAGCTACAATACGGAGGATAAAGATATCGCTGCTGTTTAAGTTTCTCGCTCTTTTCTGATTCACAAAATTTAACTTCTTAGGGTTACAATAAGCGCTTAAGCTTAGATTAGAGAAGTATTTTATAATTAAAATATTTTTTAGGATATATTGTACTTCTTGATGTTCCCCCAGTGGCACAGCGGTATGTCTGCGGACTTACAATGCTAGAATTCGAGTTTCGGTACTCGTGGTGGGTAGAGCACAGACAGCTCATTGTGTTGCTTTGTGCTTAACTTCAAACAAACAAACAAACTTCTTGGGGTAGAATATAGTTTTTCGTAGAAGCGAAATTCAATATTACTATTAAATTTCATGCATTAAATTTACCAAATTCAGACAGTAGAAAACTTGACCGCATCTCTATTGTGAAATGAGCTGCTTTGAACAAGAAGTGACGCAACTGCTTTGCCATTTCTGCTAAGTTTCTCGACTCGACTGCTACACTTCCTCACTTCCGGTCCACTTACTCTGTCTTAGAACAATTTTCTTAGAGAATGAACGCTATCGAAAACCCTCGCAGATATTTTGTTCATTTTTTAGCCAATTCTGTGCGTGTTTTCCACATTTTCAAAAGAGAAAAGACGACTGAGTGCAGTCTCCTTAAAATAACCTGCAAAACTTTTCAAGACATTTAAAGTGCATTACAAGAGCTTCAAAAAGAACGCCCATTATGGACCGAGAGTTCACCTATACTTGTAGACTTTTACCGGGTCTGTCGGACTTTCTTCTATCTACTTGATCTATCACAAAGAAATAATGGAGACCATTCCAAAACAGTTCAAACAAACAACGCATGTACGAACTTGATTTTTTGGTTGTTTATTGAGCACAAAACTACACAAAGGGCTATCTGTGCTTTGCCCATTGTGGGTATCGAAACCGACTTTTACCGTTATCGTTATAAGTCCTCTGGCTCATTGCCATCAGGGGCTATGAACACGAATACTTTTCGATTTTCAAGGCATTCCTTAATAGTTAGTAGATAAAGAATCGTTAACGATGGGAAAAGTTCCATCTGTATCTTCAGGAATTACTGTTTATGTTTAGATTATAATGGTTATTAGTTATTCAGAGTCTACACACCTTTCGTGAGTGTTTCAATTTAACAGATCAGGAATGCGGAAATTAAATGGAAGCCACAGGCTTTATTCATTAATTTAACCATTATATTTTGAAGAACTTCGGTAGTTTTACAGAAAAGATTACATCCGAGCAAAACAATCTCTGGACATTACTCAATTAATTCAAGTTCTTACTTTTACTTTAAACATGTTAAAATTGTTTTTAATGCTTCTCGGTGATTATTTTTCGTATATTTTCATATAATATCATAAAGACTCGAGGTTCAGCTCCTGTGGTGAACACAGCATAGATAGCCCATTGTGCAGTTTTGCTGTTAACAGTCAGTCTTCTCATATTAGTCATTCCACGACTTTGCTAGAGGCAATGTTAACGACACCCAAAAGCAAGTCTAACCTTTACATTTTCAATGAAATGAGACGGACGTGGCCTTGTGGTTATTATGAAATAATGTGGATCCGAAGGTCCATGGCTCACGTCCTGCTGTAAAGCAAAATCACGCTCCGAATTATTGGTCATGCGTGCGTTATAAAAGTGTTGATTAAATTTTACTATTTGATTAGAATTGTCCAAGAGTTGTCGGTGGGTGTTGTTGACTAGTTGTCTTCCCTTCAGGCTGTGAGCTCAAAATTATAGACGACTAGCACCTTGTGTAGCTTTGTGCGAATATCCGAAAGAAATAGATTTATTGAACTAGCTTATTTTAGGAATAAATAACTGATGTGAAACGAGTAAGCAGATTACAGTTGATGTATGAATTCCGAAACGTGCTATGTCATCAACAGTTTATATATTTGGTAGAGTTTAGAAATGCCCCCTCCCTCCCCACCCCCACTTTTCAAACTGTACCTTTTGACTAGAAAACCAAATGACGACGTGTAAATTGTCTAATCATGAACCAGAAAACCAGCTGACAAGGTCAAGATTTCCTAATAACCTATATTCTGTTTCTTATTAAAG